ATCACGTCCTACACCGTCCACAAGATGGGGGGCCACCTCCCATTTCATCACCTCTCAAACACCCCGAGAGGTCGGCAGGCGGATTTGAACCCGGACGCGACGGGAGCAGAAGCCAGGCCTTTGTTGTGGTATGAATGATGTACGACATCTCAAACAGTTGGCACACATGACATGACACGCGGAGCAGAAACCGCTACTAGAGGATTATTCACCCCAAACCTGACATGCTATGGCAAAGCGTTGCAAGACGGCATGGGGACGTGTGAAACGAGGCCCCTCTCGTATTCACACTTTCACACATGGTGGCGATGTACGGCGGTGGCGACGCCTGTGGTGCTCGTCGCGCCGAGACGTGTTGTCCTGTTGGAAGTACTCGCCCAGGCTCACTCAGACCGGCGGCGGGAATGGGCGGGAGGTGGGCAGGGAAATACACACACACACAGTTAATCAGCTAGCAGGGGATGCAACGAGAACAGAATTTCCACGGCAAAACAAGATGAGCAGCTGCACACGAAATGCAGAAACATACTAATAAGCACACAGGCAGATCGCGGGCAGTTCGGAGTCTCCATAAGTAAAACAGTAGCACCCCCACACATACCCACATATGTATACATGTGTGCGCATGCATGCACACACACACACACACACACACACACTCTTACATACACACCTACACACACACGTGAGTGCACGAGCACATTCTCACCCACATTTGAACACCTACTTACCTACCTACCTACCTACCTACATACACACAATCGCGCGCACAAATTCAAGCCACTGAACACCACAACAATAACCATCGGCCGGCTTTGCAGCTTCTGTCTGTGTTTGCTGACCTTATCTTTGCAGTTTGCTGCCTTTGTGCTTTTGCTGTTGCTGCTTGCCGGCACACCAGAAGAAAAACACGGCGCCACGAAATACCCACAGCAAGAAACTTTGCTCCCGACGTATGTGTCCGTTCTTGATGTAGTGATGTCGTACAAAGTTCCTCCTGCGAGCACACATGACTAGGCGGCTGGCAGAGGTTAAGGCCTGACTTCTGCTCCCGGCCCACCCGGGTTCAAATCCGCCTGCCGACTCCTCGGGTGTTAGAGGAGTGTTGAAATGGGTGGTGGCCCCCCATCATATGGACGATGTAGGACGTGATAAATTCCACTTGCGAGCTGACCAGGAACTAAGTTGATGCGCCGT